CAAGTGCAAAGTGCTGCACTGGGGCAAGAAGAACCACCAACACGCTTACAGGCTGGGGGATGGCCTTCTCAGCAGCGCAGCAGCGGAAAGGGGTCTTAGAGTCATAGTTGACTCCAAGATGAACGTGACTCGTCAATGTAAGAAAATGATCAACAAGCCTAACCACACTTTATCGTGCATTAGCAGATGAAGGATGAACAGGTCCAGGAAGGTGATGCTTCCCCTTTATGCGGCACTGGTCAGGCTGCAGTTGGAGTACTGTGTCCAGTTCTGGGCGCTGCACTTCAAGAGGGATGCAGAGAATCTTGAGAGGGTTCAGAGGAGGCCACTCATATGGTCAGAGGCCTGAAGGCAAGGCCCTACAAGGAGAGACTGAGGGACCTGGATCTCTTCAGCCTTCGCAAGAGAAGGCTGAGAGGTGATCTTGTGGCTGCCTATAAATTCATCAGCGGAGGGCAGCAGGGAATAGGAGATGCTTTATTTACTAGGACACCCCCTGGAGTAACTAGGAACAATGGCCACAAATTGACTGAGAGCAGATTTAGGTTGGACATCAGGAAGAACTTCTTCACAGTAAAGGTTGCCATAATCTGGAATGGGCTTCCAAGGGAGGTGGTGCTCTCCCGTACCCTGGGGGTCTTCAAAAAGAGACTGGACAAGCACCTAGCTGGGGTCGTCTGACCCCCGCGCTCTTTCTTGCCCAGGGCAGGGGGTCAGACTCAATGACCTACTGAGGTCCCTTCCAACCCTAACATCTATGAATCCATGAATGCACATTCTAATAAAGTTATATATTTGTGTTGCTTCAATCTTCAACTGAATAAAATAGCCTTAGGCCCCTACTGTATTAGTAAAGCTTCTAGTTTTGTTTTTTTGTCTAAAGAAAAGATGTGTTGTGTTATATGTGATGATGCACCACACAATCTGCATGCACCCCTCTTTCCAAAATCCTAGATCCACCCATGGACAGGGTCATTATCCTTTCTCTCTGTAGAAAGCAATAGAAAGCATTAGAGGCCACATGCCATTTTCACTCAGGCTGGTGAGGAATGTCAGCTTAATCCCTTGGGTGCTTGATAGTCCCCCAGGACCTTCCCACAATCCCTCTCACATGCTCACAAGGACAGACAAGTTCTCCAAAAATTCTCCAATGCTTTCTACAGAGAGGGGCCCGGAGACCCAGAGGAACTTGCCCAAGGTCACACAGGGAGCCCCTGACAGGTGTCCCCTGCTGTGTCCTGGGGGCTTAGGCCTGGATGTCAGACACCCAAGTTCATTCTACAGCAACCATGTGCCCTTTCAATGCTTTCTAGGAGCTCAGTCTCACCCTTTTTTAGTGATGGAGGATAGGTATGTACTTACATTTCCAAGCTACTCCAAGTACTTTACAGCCTGGGGTGCTGGAGCCAGGAAGCCATTCATTCTCTGCCTTCTAGGGCAGGAATCAGCAGTCTTTCAGCAGCAACAGAGCGAATTAATGGAGCTCAGTTTCAGGCAGGCCTGTGCGTGTAACTTGGCTACTGCCTGCAACCCAGCCACCACCATATGCTGTTGATTCCCCACACTGCTGAATGCAAGCTGAATGAAATCTCTTTGTGGGCCACATCCAGCTGATGGACTATAGGTTGCTGACCCCTGCTCCAGGAGAAGAGAGAGGTTCATTTGCCAAGCTTGCCCCTTTTGCCCCAGCCAGACTTCCCCGCCTGGTAAATCTGGTATCCTAACCATCATCAAACCCTGCACATGTTTTCACAGCTGGTGAAAGCCAAGACTTCTTTACTCCTTCTTGACCACTAGAGCACCTCTTACACACACCCAACTCAAAAAGCTATGCCATGAAAACCCTGCCCCCTCCCGATACCACACACCTCTCCTAGTGTCTCACCCTGCCCTCACCCCCCTCTCAAGCACCCTCCAGAGTGCCAGCTCCCCTCTCAGTTGTAGAAACCCTCCTGGGTTCCTCTTCATCACAGATGGGCCCATTAATGCGACCAGCTGCCAAAAAACACAGGCCAGTCCTTCCCTTAAGCTCCACAGTGCAAAAACCTTCTCTGACTACTGGAGCCACCTGACCTGCCCCAACACACACGAGTTACTTCTGTATTTCATTGCGAGCACATTCATATTCAGAGGGCAGGGGCGCAGGATTTGCCCTCTCAGCAATGCACACTGCACTGGGATCCTCAGCCTGGGACAGACCCCGTCAAGGACCCTGTGAGTCACTCTACATGATCAGCCCTGATCATGTACCTGCTCTTGGACCAGCACTGGATCCCTCCCATTTGGGGAAGACAATCTGGTGACACCTAGTGGCTGCTTTTGAGATCTAAGAGATATATATAATAATGACCATCTTATTTCTAGGGAGGTGGTTTTCAACTTGTGGTCCACAGACCCCTGGGGGTCCACAGACTGTCTAAGGCATCTTCAAAAGATGACTATGGTCATTTAAAAGTATATGAACACCCACATTACAACTCAAAGGGATCTGCATCTCCATTTGAAAATGTGTTAGAGGTCCACAAATTTTAAAAGGTTGGAAATCACTGTTCTAGGGCAAGGCAGAACTTCTAATTAGCACCCAAAGGGGGCTGCAGGGGCTGCCAAGAATTGGCACTTTGCTAGAATCAGGACCTGGGTGTGTGATATCCAACAATTTGAGACTGCCAATCATCAGTGGCTGGTTTCACATAAATGATTTTTATTTCTAGATCTTGGAAAGTGGTTGGACTGGTTGGACCCAGTCCTTCCTGACAGACCCAAGCACACAGACTTCTCTCCTTTTAGGCCTCACAAAACACACACAACAGAGCAAAGGGGTAAAGCTAGGGAGCAGTAGTGAGGCTATTCTCCGACTGCCCGACTGGGTTTATTTTTGCCCCTAGTGCTTCTTCACCACCTCCCCTGCTATGGGCTCTCATATAATTCACAACAGTGCTCTGTCCTTCTCAGCACCACTTGATCTTCTTATGTTCAGGGTATGCTTTTCCTGTCCCTTTGATAACATTTTCTATGAAGAGCTGCAGACCAACTGTTGCAGACTCATTTGTGACTTAAGAGCCTCAGTGAGAGTATCACTGCCCTAAAGGCACTTGGCTTTACAGCATTTCCTGAAGGTAAGTGGGCTCCCAATTTGTCTAACCACCTCTGGAAGTGTGCTCCCCCTCCTCTTGTACAACCCCTTGTAGCCAGGTCTCACGCAAAGGTTCATTATGGGCTTTGCTCTCTGCATTTCATCAGAGGGCTGCAATACCATGGGCTGATCACGGTAGTGACAAGCTCTCAGCTGATTTAAAAGCTTTGAAGATCAGGGGTGAGGCCTTGAATGCTGCATTCTGGAAAACAGACCAACGGCTGTGCAAGTATCCTGCCATCTAGCAAGCAATAGGCCCCTTGTCCTGGTGAGGTAATGCTAATACACTTAACAACATCCAAATGGCATTTCCATGGCTCTGCTTGAACTGGTGACCTGCTCAATGAATGGTCCAGTGCCCTGGCTAACAGAGTCCAAGTGCATAAGTTTATCTGCAAACAAGGCTGGGATCGATCTGAACAAGGAAAAGGAAGAGGAAAAAAAAGGCTTAGGATCTACAGGGGGCCCAGTCTGGCCTCCAACAAAGCCACAGAACATTTGGGGACAATTCTGAGCTTGACAACTTCCTGAAAGCATCAGGAAAGCCTGGGCAGTGGCTGCCTGTGGTGTCAGCAGGGGGAGCACCTTGGCCATTTCCCTGCTCTTTGGTAGGGGCTATGTCTAAGCATATTTAGGGGCTAAGTATTAGGTCTGAGAAGACCACACCCCAGGAGATGCAGGCTGCTGTTTCCTGCTGTGCTTTCAGCATGAATTCATGCCTCTCCTAGTATCTGTTTGCAGAGCCTTGCAGCTGTTTCTTTGTCAGCAGCTACTGAGGAGATACTGCTGGTCTCCCTCCAGGAGTAAAAAGGGGGCCTTGGGAAGTGAGCAAGTGCCTAAATAGATGTGGTAAAGATTCAGCCTCCAGTTTAGCAACGACAGGAGACCTTTAGGGGCCTGGATGGAAAAGGCTAGTGCAGAACTCCTGTCCAGGGTAAGACCTACAGACTACCCCACCTCCACCTATTCCCCATCCCAACAGGCCCCAGTCTGGGATGCAACAAGAAGCTAGAGCTTTTTCCAGGTGCTTTAAGATCCACAGCAGAGCATGGACTCCACCACAGTGCCCCACTTCTCCTCCAACCTCTCCTCCTGCCAACTGAAGCTCAGCACATTCTTGACATCTGGTCTGCATTTGGTAGCTTTGGGCCCCATCAGCACATCAAACCATGAAAGACATGTGCCACAGACTCTAGTGCCAACATCTCCTGCCTTTAGCTTTTCAGGAGATGTTGTAGGCCAACTATCTTGGACGGTTTTGTGGACACCTCCTATGCTCTCAGGATGATCAGTACCTGGGTCTGAGCACCTAGGGAGGCTAGCCTAGATGTGGCCAGCCATTCTGCAAAACCCTTACCAGAGTTAATATGCCCTATCTAGGGAACCATGATCCCATGGTTCTTTGTGCTGCTCTATGATTCTACACCAGTGAATTTTTGGAGAACTTGTCAGTCCTTGTGAGCATGTGAGAGGGATTGTGGGAAGGTCCTGGGGGACTATCAAGCACTCAAGGAATTAAGCTGACATTCCTCACCAGCCTGAGTGAAAATGGCATGTGGCCTCTAATGCTTTCTATCCCCCACAAAACTAAGCTAGCTAGACTGGATAAAAGTATCACTACACTCAGGAGTGAAAGCCAAATAG